GAAGAAGAACCAGAAGAAGAAGAAGAAGACGAAGAAGAAGAAGAAAAGGTAAAAGAAGGAGGAGGAGGAGGAGGAGGAGGGGGAGGAGAAAGAACGTGTACGGGGACATGGCTTGGTACGTGTTCTGTGTGAGTGAGAGAGGTTAACCAGAGAGGATAGATGCTCTTCCGCGTGCGGATAACTACTACCACTACTACTACAACTACAAAAAACGATGAAGAAGAAGAAGAAGAAGAAGAAGAATAAGAGAAGAAGACGAATACTTAAACGTTAGCGTTCTCCTCTCGTGTCAACCACCGAAGAAAGCTCTCTCTCTGCGCTTGAGCAACGCCACGGAACTCCCTCCCACCCTCCTCCCACCTCCTCCTCCTCCTCCTTCTCATCGTTCTCTCTGCTTATGTTAGTACTGCTGCTGCTGTTCAATCTTCTCTTCAACCTGACTGGATGACCGCTCGCGATCGCTCGCGATCGCATGAACATTCAAATCACGAGGGCCTTGCGAGCACGTAACAATTTCTGTTCTTGGGACTGGAGCCACTGGATCGTCCCTCAGCCTCATCCCCCTTCCCCTCTCTCTTTCTCTTTCTCATTCTCTTTTTATTCTTATTATTTTTTATTCTTTCCTATCGCGACTTTCATGATATTGTTAACTTCTTTAATCTTGTCTATCTTATTTCCTACCATTGATTTTTGTTTACAATAAAAATATCTACTCGTTATTATTAATCATTGTATTGGGGTTAATTGTTGGAATTTATTAAAGATATATATATATTTATATTTATAATGTTTTGCGTGTGAAATATTTTCTTATAAATTTGTTACTAATTTAGAAATTTGTTTAAAGATTTTCTCGCACTGTAACACTGTAGTTACTTTTATGAACATTCTTCAATCGATGCTTATTCTTTTTTTTTTTTTTTTTAGAATATCTTACAAGTAGACAAATTTGTATAAAACTTTTGTATTTCTATATAATATATCAAAGATAATAAATTAATCGATAAAACGTTCCTTCAAATTTGTACGTGCAATATTATTATCCTATGATATCTAGAAGATATATAATAAATCAATCAAAATCCTTTAAATTACTATTATATAAATAACTAAAGAAAACCTTGAAGAATAAAGAACTACGTTTAATTGCGTAAAGAAACGATCTCGTAATCCGAAATGAACATTGAAAGTTTCATCGATAGGAATGGTCGACAAAAGATAAGTACCCAATGTTGTTAGTACGCATATTGGTCTTTAATTCGATTTGATCACCAAACAGGTAGAGGTTAGCTTTTACGAATGCGACTGGCATTGTCTCTTGAGTTGGTGGGAGGGCCGAATATGGTGCTCAGTTTCAAAGATGAGTACGAACGATGAGACGACTGTTTAACGAATAAGGACGTGACGTGGCCATATATCCTTGCATATAAGGGAAACATATTTTGCTGTTAATAGTCAATATGCATTATAGAGAGAAAGACAATGAGCGGATCTTCGATGCCCGCACACGACGATGACGACCGAAGATGACGTTTGTCTTTGTCTCCAGATGATGATGATGATGATCATGAGACACGATCATTGATCTTTCAAATATTTTTCAAAACATCCATACAAATATTTATATTATATCCGTAACAAAATGATAATATAATTCAAATAAAATTGATAATAATATAAAATAAAAAAAATAATTATTCACACGATCTCTCATTAATCTTTATTCAACAAAAATATATCGTAGAAAGAAAAATAACACAGAAATAAATGATAAATGTATAAAATGCAACGACATTTTGAAAATAATATATATATATATATATATATATATATATATATATATAGAGAGAGAGAGAGAGAGAAAGAGAAATAAATTAATGCGAGACTCGTCTGCGTTAAAGGAACGCTATAAAAGATTTAACGACGTGTTGAGATAGTGGGTCAACGAATTCGATCGAGAGATTCGAAAACGCGTCCGAATAGAAGCCGAAGTCACCTCGATTGGCAGCGGTGTGTCGTGCGTGTGCACGCGCTACTGTAAGAGGAAGAGAGAAAGAGAAAGACTGACTGACAGACAGACAGACAGACAGACATAAAAAGAGAGACAGAAAGAGACAGAAAAAGAAAAGATAGAGTAAGAGAGAGAGAGGAGTCGAGGAAGAATGGTACGATGAAACAGGAGAAAGAGAGGACAAAAAAATAAAGAAAGAAAGAGAGAGAGAGACGGAAAGAAAACTTTGGATGCGTTGCACGATTCGCTACGAAATCTCGGATTCTATTAGCGGAGAAATTATAACGGATTGACGGACGCAGGAATGGATGCACGATTGGACGGATGAACGTAGCCGACGACGAAGACAACTACGACGAAAACGAAGAAGAAGAAGAAGAAGAAGAATACGTTGACGAAGACCAAGACAGACGATAAACGCAACAGTTCGTCGGGAAAAGGATTTCTCCTGAATTGTAAATACTGATCAGACTGCAGCACGATTACCTGTCTCCGTTCCTCCTTTTCCTCAAACTTTTCTTTCCTTTATTCTATCTCTGTCTCTGTCTCTCTCTCTCTCTGTCTCTCTCTCTCTTTCTTTCTTTCTTTCACTCTATATGCAGCATCGCATGTTAAAGTACTTCCCGGTGCACTTGTGAATCGTTGCAACAAGAAAATCTGTAATCTCTTGATTTCGACCCAGTCCATTTCGATTACGCTACCGTATTTAAATTTAGATATTATAAGCCAGTGCAATTGGATATAAATATATTTTTGTTATATTTGGAAATGTTTGAAAAAATAACTATTGCACGTTGCAAATGAGAAAATATGTTAAATGTTTGTTTATTTTTTAGTATATTTCGATTACTCCTAGTAATTTTCTTAATTTAATTTATATATCAAGTTGCACTTTTTCTTGTAAACATTTAACAACATTTTGTCGAATTTTTCTCGAAATTATTTTTTTATATATATATATATTTAATAATTTTAAAAGAAGTGTGTTGATTAAGTTAAATATTTTGATTTTTTGAATAAAATTTGAATTTTTGAAAATTATATTAAGTATTATAATTGACAATTGATATGATAATTATATATAATATGCGTTTAATAAAATAATATTAATTAAAAATGTTAACACAATACGATGTATGTATCTTAAGAGTATGAGATTGTTGTGACATCTATTAACGTTCATTTACACTACTTTACCTTTTCACAACCCAACTACATTTATTTTCTTTTCCTTTTGTCGATAACATTTTTTACTGCAAAAATGTACAATCAATTAATATGTATGTTGATGATTTTATATAATATTCTTACTTTCATTTCTCATATATTCTCTCTGTTCGATAGTAATATTAAAAAAACGAAATCATGCATATATACTTTCTATGCTTTTCAATACAAAAAATAAAAAAATAAAATAAAATAAAAATACAATATAATTTAAATCATATAATTAATAAAAATAATTCATTCTAACAGAGAGAAACCAAAAAATAAAATTGACATTAAAAATTACTTGAAAAAAATTAATGTAAAAAAGTATTTATTGACATTTCTTATTTTTTATATTTGAATTGCAAAAAAAACAAAACTATTCATATATTTGTATATTAAAAAAAGCATGCATCAGAGACATGCATTTTTTCATATTCACTTGCGTTTAAATATAGAAAAACACATTTTCTAATGCATCGAGAATTCGGTATTTTTAAATGTCCATTTATTTGTCATTTAAATTCTTTTTTCTTTAAATTTCATTATTCATTAAATAATTTAAATTGAAAAGTTATGGTTGCGGATTGCATACCGAATTTCATTTTTCTACACATGCCCTTTTCATCTAGTTTTTTGTTTAAGAATGTAATGTTTTTTTCAAGCTGTAAGGAATAATATTAAAAAGTACCGCTTTATCAATGGATATTTACAACAATTTCTACAGTAGTATCTCAAGGTCTGCAATACTCTATCATTTATGTTATAACAATAAATTAATAAAAATAATATATAAGTTATATGTTATGTATATATATAAAATTAATTTTTGTTTTAGGGTCATTAATATTGGCAAGATTCTATTCAACTGTTTGCAGTTTGTGTTCCGATAGTAGTTGTAGTAATAGATAGTAGTAGATAGTAGTAGTAGTAATTTACCTTTTTGAAATCATTTATATACATCTACTGGTACCTGGAAATAATCAGAGTTAATAAGAAATTATCTTTATGTTAGAATTTTGCAAATGAATTTCATTGAATTTAATTTGATTTTGAAATAATAATATGATTAGAGTCATTGTAATTAGAATAATAGAATGATCGTTATAGCTCGTGAATTTCCAGTAGCAGCAATCACGACGTGGTGAGGAAATACGATATTATTTTCGGTATAATGTATATTATATTTTCTATGCTATACATGCCATCGTAAAGAATATCGTTACCAATGGCGCAGCTTAAATTAATATAATTTTAATTAGAAACAAAAAATATATAAAAGTTAATACAATTTATGAACACTTTTCAACTAATCAATTTTCAATAAAGTAAACCTATAGATATGTCTAGATTATTAACACTAATATGCCCTAACCCATGCTAACCCAATTGTAAAAGGGATAAAGGGATAAAATCTATATAAGCTTATACATACTAAATACTATAGTCGCATGATAGGTATTCTACTCCCTGTTGCGTTTGTTTTGAATGAAAAGATAATTACCAATCTAAATTCTTTCTTCGTATTTTGAACGCATACTCCCACCTCTCTCTCTAGCGTATGTTAATAAAATAAATTTCTAATTTAAAAATGATATATTATATCGATCGTGGATGTAGCATAAATTGAAAAAAAAAGAAAGAAAATCGATAAACGCGTAAAAAAAATTGAAAAACGTTTAATATTAACCGATCGATAATTATGTTTCTCTTTCTTTTCATTTGGCACGTAAAATTATAATCAAGTAAGTTAATGTCTCATATTTTATTTAATAATAACATGGAAAATTGTATGTAACACATGACATTATATACGCATTGTTTAAATTTTTCTTTATCTTGAAATTATTTATAATAAAATATCTCGGAAACTTTAATTGTGAATTTATATATTTCAAAGGTTATATATGTAAAATTGAAATAATATATTTGAATTTTGTATTATATAATATTCGTTATCGATTGATTTGTTTTAGTAAATCATGTGATCGACTAATTTCTAACGAACGATATGGATTATTATACCCGGATTTGAACAAGAAAAATGATTCGTCGCGTGTCTTAAATTAAGACCAATATTTTATCATTTTTTATTTCATTGAATAAATCGCCGAGAAAATTAACGACGCGAAAATATACGCATGAATTTAATTTTCAAATCAAATCACTATGATTTCAAGTGTATATCGTCGTATCGTCGTATAACGACATTCCGAATATACTGGAACCATCTTAATTACAGTTAGAATGAAAAGAGAAAATGAGATGGACGGTAATAATTATTTTCACATACATTTTATATATCAATCATCCTAATTTAATATTATCATCATTATCAATCCTAATTAATTTATTTTGTTAATTATTAACAAGCTACAAATTCGATTTACGATCATCCGGATGTTTCTAACATTGTGGAATATATAAAAAACAAGTTTTATTTTGCAACATTAAAAAATGGCCGAAAGGAAGCGAGAAAAATGGAAAATCTTGAATTTTTCAATATAGACAACGAACTCATTTATAATAACTTTTACAACGACTTTGGACCTTTAAATCTCGCGTGTTTGTACAGGTAAAAAGATTATATATAATAATTAAAAAGAAATAAAAATAAAAAATTAAAATTGGTGTTTCATAACAGGTACTGCTATATGGTGAACAAGAAATTAAATGATCCAACAAAGAAGCATAAATTATTCGTGCATTGTACTTCGAGAAATGAGGAGAAAAGAGCAAATGCTGCTTATTTGATAGCCTCCTACGCCATTTTGTATTTGAATAAAACTCCTAAAGAAGCTTACAAACCTTTCATCGTTGGTAACGAATTAATGTCGTTCAGATTATTTCAAGATGCATCTTTGGGACCATCGATTTACAATATTCATTTACTCGGCAATATATTTTTCTTTTTATTATATACTTAGAAAATGATAGCATGCCAATCTTAATTTTCGTTTAATTCCATTCCAATTCTAAATCTAGATTGTCTAAATGCCATTTACAAAGCTGCATCCTTTGGCATATTCAACTTCGATGACTTTCATTTAGCTGAATACGAAAAATACGAACAAACACAAAATGGTGATTTGAATTGGATAGTACCGCAAAAATTATTAGCTTTTCTTACTCCAAGTACGGAAAATGGAACGATCTATCATCCACCAGAATGTTACATTAATTATTTTTTAAAGAATGACGTTGTTGTTGTCGTTAGGCTGAATAAAAAAACATACGATTCTAACAGGTATTCAAATTAATTTGCGATTATTTTCCAAACTTGATCTAAGTGTATGTAAACTAAATCACATTAACGTATGATATTAATAATGTATTTTCAATTATTTTTTTTTTAACAGTTTTACAAAAGCAGGAATATCACACTACGATATGTTTATGCCAGATGGTACTGTTCCACCAAAAAGAATTCTTTATAAATTTCTTAAATTGGTGGAAACTACAAATGGTGCTATTGCTGTTCACTGTAAAGTAATTCTCATTCTAAAATATTCATCTAAGATTTTGCGTTATTCTACTTATATAAATATATTATAATCTTATATATAAATAATAGAAATAGCACACGCAAAAATTATTCAAAAGGCACTCGTACCTTAAAAGAAAGCATTTTATAATTGATTTAATAATTTCTATTGATAAAGAAAAAAAAAGAAAAATATAGATTTAATATATAATATGTTTATAATTTGGCATTATTAGGCAGGATTGGGCAGGACAGGTTCTCTAATAGCAGCATTCTTAATAAAGCATTATACAATGACAGCCAGAGAAGCTATAGCCTGGACACGAATTTGTCGAACTGGCTCCGTTATTGGACATCAACAAGCTTGGCTAGAAAACATAGAATGCAGTCTCTTAAATGCAGGCCAACAATATAGGTACACACACACACACACATATATTTATACATATAAAATGGTGATTATAAAAGTTGATCTAACAAGAGAAGAACCCCCTTGGCAGAACACCAATTTTTTTCAATTTTACATCATTGTAAGATTCCATCAGGATCATACATTATGAAAGCAATAAGATCCAATACTTCAGTATTTTAAAGAAAACAATGAAAAAGTTACACGTGCATTCATATATTCGAGTTCGTTTCAAATTGACAAATAAATGTTTTACAACTTTATCATTTTTCACACCTCGTATTAGGCTTCAAACTTTTCAAACCTCTTTGTATTAAGCTCAGATCTTATCAACTTATATCGTGTAATACATTTTTTTAAATTTACTTTACTTTACTTTACTTATATTGTGATCACACTTTTTCATAATCACCTGCTCGTATGTATAATTATAACTGCTATTAGAGTGAAATATAATATAGAATAATATATAAATAAAATAACAAATATATGATAACATTATATTACAGACTTAAATATCATGGGGATAGCAATATGGTATTACAGCACAGATGGGGGATATACTCCATCGCTATTAAATTAGAGAACAACGAACGTCGTGACCATTCTGAAACTGATTATCCTAATAGCAACCATCGAAATAATTATCCAGGCAAGTTTTTCATTTATTTTACGAATTGTTTTATTTGATTCGATGAAAGAGCCCTTCTTCCGTCTCCCTTTTTGTTTCCTTTTTTCTTTCTTTCTTTCTTTATCTCTTTAACATGGGCCTAAGGAAAATGTGGAAGACACTGTAAAGTTGTAGTATACTAAAAACTTTAGCTTGTCAAGTTGCAAGCATTATTCTCTCATATATGTATCCTTAAATTCGTAACTACTTATGAGTGAGTGACTTTAATTACGAAATAATATATTTAGAAAATTAAAAATAAGATAATGTCCTAATTTAACGTGCTATATAAGAAGCTTTGTGTTTTTTTTTTTTCTTTTTTACTTTATTTGTATTTTTATTTTAAACAAGAAAAATAGCGATGACTTACCTAAGAATATAAGGTAGTCAAATCTAAATTATTGCGAACATTAGATAACTATGATATAAACGTTAAACGTTTGTAATTCGTTAATGAATGATAAGGAAGTGTTTTTTTCTTTTCTTTTTTTTTTTTTTTTAATCGATTGTTATAGATATTAATATATGTATTTGCGTGTATGTAATTTTTGTATATAGGTAAGTTACGAAATGTAAATGGTACGATGAAAACAAATGCAGAATCTTCAAATCAAAAAAAGACACGTAACAAAAAGGATCTAATTAAATGTCGCTGGAAATTAAATCATTTGAAAGGTACTTCGACACAAGGTGACAAACTAAATGAAATTAAAATAAATAGAGAAATAAATTATCACAAATGAACTGATCGTTATTAAAAAATGACAAAAAGAAAAACAAAAACAAAAATGTTCTCTTTTTCTCTGTTGAAACACACTGGCAATCTGTAAAAAAGTTAATAAAAGGAAAAGAGATAAACTATAATTTATAAGATATATATATATGATAATCAAAATAATATCGTATAAAATATATATACGATAATAAATACCTGTTTGTTTTGTGTTATTTGACATATTTAATAACGTTACGTATATATGTATTTAAATACGCGTTAAAAGCACATGTGCTTTGTAGGTATAAAAACAAGCTATCTCGGTTTGTTATCTCTTATCTCTTTTTGTTATAAATTTTATAACAAACAACGATAATCACATAATCAAAACATAGTAAAATGTAATAATATTAAAAACGGAAAAGAAATGATTATAATTTCCTCTTTTTGTACTTTTTCATCAGGGTAATTATCACTTCTTTTTTTTTTTTTTTTGTTTTTTTAGATTACAATAATTATATCGAAGACCGTTTTTTTTTAACGTAGAGAGAATCTCATTCCCGTCAGAAGAAACTCATTTATGCACAAATGACATATTTAATACGCTATTTAAAAAAGATGTCGCGCATCCGAATGTGGGAATGTTTTTCTATTTTTTGTTTTGTTTTGTTGGGGTTTGTTCTTTTTTTTTGGGGGGGGGGGCTTTTTTTTTTTCTTTTTTCGTTTATAATGTCCACTTTTTTTTTTTTTTTAATAAATATCACGAACCTCGAGCAAGCTGCATGCTTTGCGATGCAAGCGAACGTTAAAATTGGTCTGAAGCATTTATCTATGTATGTACGAAAAAAAAATTAGAAGAACAAAAAAACAACAAAAAGAAGAGTGATTTGTATAAAAAAAAGTTACTTTTTCGTGATTTTATAGACGATTGCATACAAAATGACTATTTTTACAAACTAAAATAAGATAGATAGAAAGAGAAAGAGAGAGAGAGAGAGAGAGAGAGAGAGAGAGAGAGAGAGAGACTTCGTATAGAGAGATAAAGACAAAAAAAATAGATATAGAGATTAAAAAATACGGAGAAAGAGTTATTGTGATATAATAATCATATATGAGCCGTTTATTTTAATACTGAACTATAAATCTATTTTTTTATTTTCTCCGTGAAATATTTTTTATGACAGTTAACTTCCAGTTGCAGATATCATTACTGTCAACAACAACAAAATATTAAAATGGGGCGAGCTTAGGTCACTTTTAAAATGAACGGCTCATATGTATATGTATATATATATATATATGGAGAAAGAGAGAGAGAGAGAGAGAGAGAAAAAAAGTATTTAATTTTGTAATAAAATGCAAATGCAAATTATCAATAATATAAATTCATATATATTTTCAATTATCATTTTATATATATCTTACGGTATATATCTTACTCTCTCTCTCTCTCTCTCTCTCACTCTCTCTCTCTCACTCTCTCTCTCTCTCTCTCAATTATTTTATAATCAATGATATAAGTTAACCTCTGAAAAAATTTAATTAAAATATAAAAATTAATACTAATCATCTTTCGAAGCGCATTAACAGAAATTGTTTTCTTTTTTTCAAAAAGAAAATTCTCATGCTTCTTATAATAGTCACACGAAAGAAAGAAAAAACAATTATCATGCAATTAAAATTATTTAAAATAACTTTCTCCGGGCATATTTTTGGAGAGATATTTGGTCACAACAGAGTTTCATTATTACTTCATTTTCTTTTCTTTTCCTTTTCTTTTTTTTTGGGGGTTTTTTTTTTTTCTTTTTTCTATTTTTGCATTTTTTTTCTTTGGGAAATAAGGACAAACAAGTGCCCAAAATTGCAGTTCATATTTAAAAATTGCAATATATGCTTTCAGTAAGGAACTCTCTGCGTCGTAGTAAAATTCATTTGTTTTTTTTTTGTTTTTTTTTTTTCATAGATTAACACATTGCCTTTTTTTCTTTTTCGTTTTTCTCTCTCTCTCTCTCATCAAAAACATCCATGTTACGCGCATTATTTTGCTAAAATATACAAAATGTTTTATTACATTTGGAAAGACCAGATTAATTCGTAGTAATATAACGTATCCAGTTTTTGATTTATCTTTCAGAATTTCGGAAGTTCACAATTTCAGGTTCTTTTTTCTTTTATTATGTTTATATTTATATGTTACGGAAAATGAAATTTGGAATCGGAAATTGAAAAATTCTATTGAACATAATACTTTGATATTCTATAGAAAATCAAATTACTATTTAAACAACGTTGAAAATAATACATCCGAATACAACAACCCCCACCATGCTCGTTTTTGTGTATGTGTATGGGAGCGATTAACGGTTGTTTGTGCGGGGGTGGTTGCGTCCGGCCTATGCTCGAGGATGTATTTTTTTTAAACGTTGTTTAAATAATAATTTGATATTCTATAGAATATTAAAGTATTATGTTCAATGCCTAAGAAAAATTGAAAGAATTTTTCAATTTCCGACTTCGTCTGAAAGCTCTTCATATTCATAGTAATGACGAGGATTTACTAGTATTACCTGATTTCCCGCTTTGACGGTAACATATATATATATATATATGTATAAAATACGCGTTGAGAGAGGAAGTTTTTGTGTTGCACAGTATGTGTTAATCAAAACAGTTATCACTGACGGAACGTTTCACATAGCGCGAACCCGATTATTACACACTTTATGATATATTAAATAGAATTCTTACAATCACTTTAGTTTATCAACTAATATAAATTTTATATGATACACAGAACTTATTAAATACCTTACATATGCTTAATGAGAAAAAGCTTAAATGGTGGTGGAACAGTAGTAATTGTGCAATTCAAAGACAAAGTGAATTAAGTGATGAACGAATCTTTTTTTCCCCGTTTCTTTCTTTCTTCTTTTTCATTTTTTTTTTTCTTTTACAAAGCTCTACTATTTCTTTGACCAAGATATATAATTATTATTTTTTAATTTCTTATAAACTTCCGTAAATTATGAATGATATAAAATGTTGTTGTTTTCTTTTTTTCCATTATCATTATCATTATCATTACTATTATTATTATTACTATTATTATTATTTACATTATTATTGACATTATTAATATTATTATTTAAATTCATTATTAATATTAATATTATTATTATTATTGTATAAATAAAATGATCTATAATCTACCGGGTTGAAAAATTAACGAAACGTCTTTGAAATACTTTTACACCAAACTAGATGAACACATATGTATGTATATATATATAAGGCATGTAAATAATCTATGAGTACTTTACACAAAAATGTGCATCTTAATAAAAAATATGCCAATGTATATAATAATGTTTCTTAGGTCTTGCATCGAAATAATTTCTCACATTTTTTTCCTTTACTGTTCTACGAATAATTCAATCGTCGACATAAAAATTGATACATTTGTTATGAACATTCCCTTTGTTTCGTTTGTTTAATTTTTTTAACCTTTTTTTCTTTAATAATAAATACAGACATAAGCAAAATAAATTCTCGAAACCTCATTTCGTGTATTATATACTGTTATATTAACCAAGGATATATATATATATCTATATATATATTTTGCATAAAAAATCAGAAATATCTTTTATCCTTACAACTTCCTTTATGAAGTTATTAATAAATCTCACTAACTGTAAAAGCATTATAGCTATCTAAACAGTATTGCACACTGTATTACTTGCATTTATGAATTTTAGACTTTTTGTTTGATATCTGATTCTAATCTCCAACACACGTTTTTATAAAATTTTTGTTTATGAAAATTAAGTGTTTACTTCATCTAAGCATATGTTAATGTATACATATACTATATATATATGTGTATGTATGTGTGTGTAAGTATATATATAGTATAATTATATTATTCATTATCGCAGTGTTAACACTGTACTTTATCAACTATCAAAATTCATATTAATTTATGGTATACTACTAGTATTTTTTATTTTATTTTATTTTATTTTTATTATTTTTTTTTTTTCAATATAATGAAGCTCACTTGTTACGTTTTATTTTATTTTATAGTTTTTTTTCTTTTTGCTATATAATAAACAATATGATTGTAAAGTAAAATATGTATTAAATGTGATATTTATCGGTGTTGGAAATTTTGCTTGTAATATTAAATATCCCGAAGAAAATAAGTATAAATTTTAAAGATACATACATAAATATTGTGAAAAATGATATTATTATATTTTTCTTTTTCTTTTTTGTTATTTTTTTTTCCCCTCCGCCCTACGCCCCAAACCTTATCTTCACGTTGCAATATCGATGCACACAAATGAGTACTCAAACATTACCTCAATCACAATGCGTTTACATCCTAAAATCATATTATTATTAAAAATCTTATCAGTGGTGTAACGAATCATATCCATCCCACACACGCCTTTATATCATACAGTCTTTCTTCTATGAGAGATATTATCCAAAAAATCAACTATGAATTTGTCTGTTTTTTATCCTTTCAAAGATGTGATTCTTGCTTTACTTTTTCTATCTTTCTTTCTATCTTTCCTTCTTTCTTTCTTTTTTGCCTGCTTACTTTTTTTTCATTTTTTCTTTTTTTTAAAGGTCTTTTTCTAATATTCACCATAATTGAAATATAATTATGGTCACGCTGCTTTATAGAGAGTCACGCTGGCAATGTGCTGATTAGCCATAACTTCAACAATTGCATCACGTATTCCATAACAAAAGGTGCATCCAAATGGATTCGTAGTATTTGTTGAGGATGCACGATTTAACACTACAGGACGTGCACTTGCCTTTAACTGTTCACTTATACCATCCCATTTTGTATAGGCAGTGATCTGGGGAATATTTATTTTTAATATTTACATGGAAATAATTTTGATAATAAAAATAAAAAGATAAAAAGCTTATTCGTGTATTAAAAAATTACCGTAACTGGAGAAGGAGAAACATCAATGAGTTTTCCCGATTCTGTGGATTTATTTTCTGGAGGTAAAATTAAAGTAAATTCACAACGATGGTACATATTAAAATTATAATGTCCTGGATAATTGGTATGTAAAACGAACTTCTTTACACACTGAGTTTTGGCATCAAATAGAACATCCTAAAAATAACACAGCAATAATATATTAAATAAATCATTATTTTATAAATACATATGTTTTTTCAATATCGACAAATACTCACCAATCCTAACGTAAAATAATTATAAAAATAATCAGACCTTCTAATCTTATCACGTTTATGTGCATGAGGACTGTGAATTCGCATTTTATCCTCTGCTTTATAAAATACTCTTGATGGTGCACCAAGAGCACTTAATACATCTTCGCAAGTATCACCAAATAAAATCTATAATTGAAATAATTTTACATTAAACATTTTTTGAATATATCGCATACAATTATAAGTAAATAGAAATAAGTACTTCTTTGGTGAGACCACTCTTTTTCGGTTCTAATAGCACCCTTGTAACAGAACTTCCTTCAGTGAAAAGGTGTAGTCTGAGTCCTCGTGTATGCGTTTTATCGCGTATAACTTCAGCCTTTTCCAAATATAAATTATTATGATAACACACCTGTGTTAACATTTTATCGTTTATTAATATTCACAAATAATCCAAATACACTGTGCCTTTTTAAAAATTTTAATTAAAAATAATTAATTACAAGTGGTAATGGCGGTGGTGGGGCTTTCATATTATGTTCTTCGCTATTGGAACCAGTAGCCATATTACCAACATAAATAGCTGTCTTTGCAACAAGAGGTGAAGTTCCATTTGGAAATTGTAATGAACCTAAGCCATGTGCATATCCTGGCTGGAATTTGGAATCAATTGGAAAATAAAATGATAATCCTCTGAAGTTTAACACGAAAACCTAAATAAATATAAGAAAGATTATTTTAATAAATTTCTTAAATATAAAAGATATCCTGTAACTGGTGATACAAGTGAAGAGGGGATGATTCTACATAAAAAGATCAAATAAAAAATGTGAAAACTAAAAGGAAACACAAAAATCCTCTCTAAAATATCCAATAATGAGATAGCAAAATCCATCAAACTGAAATTAGATCAAGTATACGCGTAATACTTAATAAATTTTCAAACTTGTTTTTGGTTTAGTTTTCCATGTAGAAAATCACTACCTGCTCGCTTGTAGCATAAATTACAGGATAGCTTACATATATAAATGATTTTGTTTGTTTTTAATATGTGTACGGAATATAATTATTATACCTGTTTTTCGCTATCGTATACTCCAGGATGAGTAGCTCCAAATGAATGTTCGATCTGTTCGATCGAAGGTAACACCTCTGGTGAATTGAATGGCAAACCACAATATTTCAATTTAACTAATCTCATATTATAAATTTCAATTATTTTAAGCCTCTGCACCACCGGATCAAATATGAGTCTAACACCATCATGAGGTAAGTTTATTACTAAATCTACTTCTAATGGATTCTATAGAAACATAAAGAGAGAAGAAAGAAAATTATTTATTAATACAAGAAAAGATATCAATGGAAAATAATAATCTTTTACTTACACTATCGCTATAAAGTACTTGTACTCCTCTTATAATGCCCACTTGAGATTGTATTATTGATACAGACTGGGAAAAATGCATACCTAAAAAGAAATGTGTCTATTAAAAAATAGCTAAGCATTATAGAATTTCTTTTAATTATTTCCTGCTATAGGTATAAATTATAATATAATAACATCTTTATATATGTTTGGACCTATATTTTTGAATCAAGATAAAACAAATGAAAATAAAAAAAAAAAAACAATAATAAGAAAAGCTTAATAAATATGTAATAAGAGAAAAGCTTATAAACAATATAAGATTACATGGTATAATTAATAATGATTGTTGAATTTGCTGATAAATGCTAAAAAACAATTAAGCTTCAATTATATAATCATTAACAAACATTGTCATTCGAATCCTATTTCTTTGTTTACACGCAATTGTCAAAGTGTTTACAAATAAAAGGATGAAGATAAAAGAGATACACCGTAAATATAAGATCGTTGATCAAATTTCGCGAGTCTAAAATAATATTAAGATAACGGTTTTAAATAATTCATGTTATTCTCATAAAATCATCGGTTCGACGTAAGAAATAACGCGTAATAAGTAAGTAAGTGTAGCGATACGTTAAAAGTGTTTCGTCACTTGCCTAAAATAAATTCCCACAGCTCACAACCAAGGGATCTTTCGGGCACTACCTCGAGTTCCAACATTCCTAATTATTATATTTACTTCTTACTTAAGTCAACTACAATTTAACGTACAACGCGGCTCTAAATACCATGAGAACTGCGTTGTTTCTTTGTCTAGCGTATCGCACAATTACTAATCACCAGATAGCCATATTGCTTCCCAAACAATAAACTTCAACTCCCTGCTACAGCTGGCGAACTAGCAGCGAACAGCTGATATAGCCACAGAATAGAGAAAATTTCGATGAACGACTATCGACCGCGTTAAAGTATATCACATTTTTACAAACAGTTTCTTATTTGTTCTCATAGATGTCTCTGCATCGGCCCTAACTGGATCTATTGCATCTAACGCCGCCATTTTTGTCGAGCATATAAATTTCAACATTTTCAATTATTAATCTTATTTATTCCTACAAAAGAATGTTGTAGATATTTTCAAACTTAAGTTTTATTGATATTAAGAATTTCTTCAATATCAAAAATAACATATTTTTTTGTATTAACCGAGTGACGTATTTGATTTTTATTTACGTACGAAACTCGGCAATAAATATTTAAATTTGTTTCGCAAATTTGATTTAAAAAAAAGTATTATTTCTTTGATAATCATATAAAATTTCGCAATGAACAATTACTAATCAAAGAAAACAATAAATAAGTATGAAATTAAAACTTTGCTCTTGTTACGAAATATATCGAGCGGTTAAAGATCATTCGATAAATATTCTCAAACAGTTGATTAATGCATCGCAGGGGGTCCTCTGATATTAAATACATTAAGCAACTTTCTAAACTTTTGCAATTCGGAAGCAGTCTTGCAGAAGTGTGTTTACAATTAATAAGATTGATAAATGCTAACATTTTTTCCGCGATACAAATTTCTTCAACTAAATATGCAGATATCGATAGAAACAGAGAAAATAAGAGATTGAACAGGAGTCAAAGTAGTTTTGTATTCACGTTGTTGTCTTGATATTAAATCGTATTCGAAAAAAATAAAATTGTATGAAAAAATAAAAGAAAATAAATAAAAGAACAAATATCTAAATAAATGATACTATAGAGTATTTTTGTTTATTGAAAACTTTACATATTTTATATTTAAATAAAAAAAGAATAAATATACGTAAAAAAAATTAAATTCTATGTAAAAAGTAAAAATAAATGTTTAATATTTGGTATATATATATATATAATTTATTTATTTCAAGGCAATAATAATGTAGAAAGATAAAAAATGAAATATATCTCACGCAATCGAGAAGCAAATTTATTTATTTTGAAAAACGATGGCAATTGCGAAATCATTTGTTTGTACTATATCATATAACATATGGGAGCCTACCGTTATGCAATAAATACCGATAAACGTATCGCAAAGCACACAGACGAGCCTCCAGATACGTCAGACAGACTATCAACAACTCCATTAAACGTTTGTTTATACCATCCATATAATTTGTGAAATTGAAGCGAGACTGGAATATTTTATGCAAATGATTAAATATGTTTTAAATACTTATTCTAAAAATCTGTTGATCAGTTTAAAAACATTTCCAATCTTGTTTACTTCCTTATAGAATTTCTATTTCTATTTTTAGATTATTTCGCAAAAACAGTAATTAATATTTAAAAAGAAAGATTTAAAAATACATTACAATACAAAAATTACGTAAACTCTTTTTACTATGATAAAAATTATAATACAATTGCTATAAACAAAAATACAATCAATTTAATAATTATTAACGAATTATTTATAATTGATTGAACATTTAAATATACATATTACCCATAAGTTATCGACTAAACATTTCTAACGTCAAACTAGGCCAATCTGGTTTACCGTCACTGGATTTACCCGCACATATGTTTCAATGTAAACTCTTAACTTAATCGCAAATATTATTCATTGAACGTGACTTTTGTCTTGGAAGATTTTTAACATCTCTCTCGATCGCGGAAATCATTTTTATACGTTTATTAAAATATACACAGATATATGACATATTAAGAACAAAACGATAGCTAATAGAAAAAATAAAAAGACACGATCATTACGAAACCAAATGCTCACACAGTGGTTAATCAATCGATCTAAGGTTTCCACTGGTCCGATGTGGAAAATATTGACTCTTGTTTGTTGTTATATTATCAAGTAGAACATGTTTCAATCATGAATTAATAACAGTCACGTTATAATAAATCCGCACGTTTCGATTCTGTTATTGTTATCGAGAAAATAAATTTGTTGACACGTATTATATTTGAAAAAGACACGCAAATGTTACTGAATCGATTAAAATTTTACGCAAAATTTATATTTATTTCTATTGTAAGAAAAAAAAATTACAAAAATCTTCTTCATATGTCGTTTGATAACACGGATAATTTGAAAAAAAAATTTGTATGAACTTTGGAATCGAGAAATGATTCGGATCTTACTCGAAATTAATAATATTTTATTTATATTTCGATAAAAGAACGGAAATATATATTGAGTATAAATTATTTGATAATTAAAAAAAAGACCCAAAAAAAATAAAATACTATAATCAAAATAATTGAACTTTGGAATGGAATGAATTATTAAATTGTTATGACAGATTTCTTATCTTAATAAATACTATTTATAGTTAAATAAGATCCGTTGAAATTCTTTGAAAACGGGTTAGTACCTTGACAGAATCCGCTCCTGGCTTAGTCCGTAGTCCAAGAATTGTCTGGGTTTGATAATTAATAAGACCAACATTTCTCTGGTGATAACCAAACGACAATGTCGTTCAAGCCTTTACCATTAAAAAGAACAAATAAAATCTAATCTGTGCAAAAGAGAGAAACTCTTATTACGCGAAGTTCAAAGATAAATAAATTTATTTCTTTGTTGTTAAAACGCGAAAGACGAGCCTTCGATAATAATCGATTAATTAATCAACACGGAAAAAATATATTTGTATTTTGTTACACATTACAATAAGCATTAATGTATTTTATTGGTTCTTTTTTTTCACGATTCATCGTAAAACTTAAAAAGTTATATTAACTTTTTCTCAATATAGGTATTTGTTTATTTTCTTTTTTTTTTTTTTAATGTGTTTCGTTTTTTGAGATTAATATTTACTAAAATTTCTGGAAATATTTATAAAACAATACTTATACTGGTAATCATAAATCATATAATCGTTTTTTTTTTCTTTTGTAATATTTTGTTGTCGTTAATATTAAAAATGAAAATAAATTTCTAGAAATATTCATAAAACAATATTGAATAATCGAAGTAAATGCATTGTAGATTATATATGAGTAATGTTACAAATAAAAGACTCGTTAATTATGATATAAAAAATATAAAGAAGAAAAATCGTTCCGTACAGCGATCCAATCACGTAAGATATTATTTTCCTCGTACAATTGATCTATTTATCCTTCTCTCCCTTTTATCACGTATTTAATTGAAGTCACTAACACATGATTGTTTCTACAAACACCAACGCTGATGACAAGTAAAATATTCTCGCATTGATTTTCGAAGTTCTAAGCATGTATCGATTTTTCTTCTAGGATATAAAAGAAAAATTTGAATAAGTTAGAACTAGGAATGAATTAGAAATGAATACGTGTAAGATCTGTCATCGGTAATTTGTATTTTGATTATTGCATACGTGATGAGTATTTATACCGACGATTATAAGAATCACATTTTCAGTGAATAAAAATACATTTTTATACGACAATTGGTTAATTAAAAAATAAAAAAATAAATGATATTTCTGAAAGATTTATAAACACACACGAATATAAGTATAATAAATTATTTAAACATAAGTGATGTCTAACAAACAACTTAAAAAATCTTTGATAACAAGATAATATCAAAAATTAAATAATAAGACAGCTGATCGTTAAACTCTGAACGCTTATCATTCAACACGATGTCTTGTTGCAAATAAAGTTTCGAGGATAGTAGAAATTTCATATTTGTCAGTTCGCGTTCTCTTCTCATCGGAATACTAACGAAAATCTCGAATCTTAACGAAGTTCTCAAACAACGTTTTCCTAATTCCTTGAAAGTATAAATATAATTTAAAAAAAAAACAAGAATTAATTAATGAACAATATATAATACATATAATAAATACGTGACACGTACACGCACAAGCACAACAAATTTTTCCAAATATAATATAAATAATTCTAACATAAAGAAAAGAAACAAAAATAAACATTTAATGTATCCCTTTTGATTGTATTCGATCACATTCAATCAACGAACACAAATTCAAATTAATCAAGTTTAATCAAATACGACAAATCCTTTTATAATGGCCAAATAATTACGAGAAAAATAGAAAATGAAAAAGGTAAGGGAAATAGAAAGAGAGAGAGAGAGAGAGAGAGAGAGAGAGAGAGAGAATTTGTTTATGCGTAAATAATTGTAAGATTCCGTTGGAATGACGCAAAACACGAACGAAAGATATCAATAAAAAAATATATACTTGTGTGTGTGTGTTGTATGCGTTGTGTGGGTCGATCGGAAATCGTACGAACCGGCTTTTACTTTCATTAAAAGGTGAATAGCATCTAGTTACGAATCAGACGCAAGTTCGACAGTCTTATTGAGATCGAGCTACTGACACCCTGTCTTATCTTGTCTAGTTTTGTCTATTTCTACTGTGAGTCATCCTTCTACTTTTTCGAACGTCTGTATCAACTTCTCTGAACAGTATTCTTTATTTTATCACTTTAATTTGATTGTCTAACCATAATTACTTTTCGTTAGAAAAATAAAACGATATTATATTTTTATAAAGTGATATATTTATCCTAAACGAACAAATAATTGTTTGTCTATCTCTTTGTTTTCTAACGATCTTCTCTCTCTCTCTCTCTATTTCTTACTCTTGATATATATATATATATTATATATATAAATATATATAATTGTACATAAAAAAAATTTCTGATGCAATAGTTTCTCTTAGAAATGAATAATAAAATAGAGAAGAAACACATTAAAGTATATATTTATTTAGTAATACATTTATATATTATATAACAATATTAGAATATTAAAATAAATATCAATACTATGATTATTAATATGTATATTTTGTTATTTTATCTTTAGAACAATCTACCGAACTACTTTCTTTTTTAACAAGCAAACATAAGTATCTAAAGTTAGTTGAGAGTAATATAATAGCGGTCAAAGACGTGGAACCGATCC